TATTTTTATTCCATTTTCCCCTTTACTGGCTTGTTTGTTTTACACTTCCCTATTCTTTTGGTAGTTGTCCTACAGAGCAGTGACTTTAACTTACTGAAGGCCAATACTGAAGGCCAGCTATTATGTCTTAAAACTTTCAGAATAGCAGATTCAGTATTCCAAAGAAACTTAAAATACTTTAATTCCCTTTATACTGTGATACTTGTGTTCTTGTTCACACAAGATCACTCCTGTTTTTATCTTATACAATTAATATTTACTTAGATTTAGCAATATATTTTTCTCTTTCTCTCACTTTTCATTTTTTTATCTATGTGATGATTTGCTTTTTACCCAAAGAATTAAAGTAGAAATTCTTTTAGTTGGGATAACTCCTAATGAATTCTCTGTTTTTGTTTGTCTGAAAATATCTTTATTTTTGCCTTCCCTTCTTAAAGGATATTTTCTCCAGTTTAGAATTCTAAGGCTGGTACATTTCTTCTGCTCAATAATTTGAAGATATTATTCCATTATCTTCTATTTTCTTTTCCCTTCAAAGTCAGGTGACAGCCTCGTCCCTTTGAAGATTTTCTGTCTATTTGCTGTGCAAACTTTTAATCTTTTTTACTTTGATTGGTTTCTGGTTTCACTAGGATATATCTGGGTATTCGTTTGGTTGTATTTATCCTACTTTGGGCTGAGAGCTTTTCCTGAATTTACAGCTTTGATGTTTTCCATAAATTCTGGATAATTTTCAGGCATTATCACTTCAAATACTATTTCCGTTTTATATTCTCTTTCCTTTCTTACTGCAATTCTAATTACACGCTCTAAACATACAGTATCTTTTTGCTGTGACCTACCTGTCTGGCACACTTTTGTACACAGGCAAAACTTGTTTCATTAGGCTTCACAGATATTGCATTTTTTACAAATTGAAGGTTTGTGGCAGCTCTGCATCTAGAAAGTCTATCAGCACCATTTTCCCAACAGCATTTGCTCATTTCCTGTCTGTGTGTCACATTTTCATAGTTCTCGCAATATTTCAAATCTTTTCACTATTGTTATGTTTGTTACAGTGATCTGTGATCAGCAATCTTTGATGATACGATTGTAATTATTTTCAGGCATCACGAACCACACCTGTATACTTAACAATAAAAGTTGTGTGTGTTCTGACGGCTCTAAGGACTACCTATTCCCCGTCTTTCTCCCTCTCCTCAGGCCTCCCTATTTCCTAAGACAGAGCAATATTGAAATGCAGCCAATTAATAATACAATGGCCCCTAGGTGTTCAAAAGAAAGGAAGCATTGCACGTCTCTTACTTTAAATCAAAAGCTAGAAATTATTAAGTTTAGTGGCAAACGTATGCCAAAAGCTGAAAGCAGCTGAAAGTTAGACCTCTTGTTGCAAGAAACCAAGTTGCGAATGCAGAGGAAAAGTTCCTAAAAGAAATTACAAGTGCTACTCCAGTGAACACATGAATGATAAGAAAGCAAAACACCCTTATTGCTGACATGGAGGAAGTTTTAGCAGCCTAGACAGAAGATCAAGCCAGCCACAACATTTCCTTCAGCCGAAGCTTAACCCAGAGCAAGGCCCTAACTCTCTTCTATACTGTGAAGGCTGAGAGAGGTGAGGAAGCTACAGAAGAAAACTGTTGAGGCTAGCAGAGGTTGGTTCATGATGTTTAAGGAAAGGAGTTGTCTCCATAACAAAAATGCAAGGTGAAGCAACACGTGCTGATGTAGAAGCTGCAACAAGTTATCCAGAAGATCTAGCTAAGATAATTAATTAAGGTGGGTATGCTAAACAACAGATTTTTCAACATAGATGAAACAACCCGATAATGGAAGGCAATGCCATCTAGGACTTCCATAGCCAGAGAGAAGGTCAATGCTTGGCATCAAGCTTCAAAGGACAGGCTGACTCTCTTGTTAGGGGCTAATGCAGCTGGTGACTTTTAACTGAACCCAATGCTCATTTACCATTCTGAAGGTCTGAGGGCCCCTGAGAATTATGCTAAATGTACTCTGCCTGTGCTCTACAAATGGAACAACAAAGCCTGGATGACAGCACAACTGTTTACAACAGAGTTTACTGAGTATTTTAAGCATACTGTTGAGAACTCCTTCTCAGAAAAGAATATTGCTATAGAATTATCACTGCTCTTTGACAATGCACCTGGTAACCCAAGAACTCTGATGGAGATGTACAATGAGATTAACGTTTTCATGTGTGCTAACACAACATCCATTCTGCAGCCATAGATAAAGGAGTAACTCTGACTTTCAAGTAAAGAAATACATTTTGTAAGGCTAAAGCTGCCACAGACAGTGATTCTTCCGATGGATCTCGGCAAACTAAATTAAAAACCTTCTGGAAAGAATTCATCATTCTAGATGTCATTAAGAACACTCATGATTCATGGGAAGAAGTCAAAACGTCAACATTAACAAGAAGGTGGCCAAGATGGTGGAGTAAAAAGACCCTGAACTCACTTCCACCCACCAGCACACCAAAATTACAACTATTTAGAGAACAACTATCTATGACAACAACCTGAAACAAGCAGAAAAGATTTCCCACATGTTAAGATATAAAGAAGGAACCACAACAAGAGGGGTGGGGATCCAGTATAGTCGAGACCCACACCCCTCGGTAGTTGACCCATAAACAGAGGATAATCACAATTGCAGAGGTTCCCCCCCTCAGAAGCAAGGTGTCCAGGCCCCACATAGGGCTCCTCAACCCAAGTAGCTCTGCACTCAAAAGATGAACCCCCAAAACATCTGGCTGTGAAGGCCAGTGGGGTTTGTGTACAGGAGGGCTGGAGGGCTGTAGGAAACAGAAACTCCACTTTAAAAGAAAAAAAAAAAAAGACTACACACAAAATCTCACATACTCTGAGTCTCAATATAGAGGCAGTAATTTGAAAATATCTGAGTCAGACATACTTGCTGATCTTGGAAAGCGTCCTGGAGAGACAGAAGTCAACTAGGACTTTCCCTGGGGACACAGAAAATGGCAGCAGCCATTTAGGGGGGTTTATTCTACCACGCAGACACTGGTGCTGGCAAGCACCATTTTGGAGTCCTCCCTCTAGCCTGTGAGTGCCAGGGGCTTACCCATACACTAACAGGTTGGCACCAGCCATGGGATGCCCAGGCTGTTCAGCCAGCTCTGCAGGGACCCAGCCTACTCAACAGTGACACGAGGCAGGGCCTTGCAGCCAACTGCACCAAGGGCCAGCTCTGCCTACCAGCATGTCCACAGTGGCCAGCCTCACCATAACAGAAGGGCCCACAGAGCCACATGGGGGCACCCTTACAGTATATAGCTCTGGTGACCAGAGGGGTGTGTGCTGCTGGGCCCCATAAGATGTCTCCCACATAAGGCCACTTCTCCAAGATCAGGAAATGTAACCGACCTACCGAATACATAGAAATAAAACAGAGAATGAGGCAAAATGAGGTGAGAGAGGAATATGTTCCAAATGAATAAACAAGACAAAACCCCAGAAGAACTAAGCAAAGTGTAAGCAAGCAATCTGCCTGATTAAGAGTTGAAAGTACAAAGATGCTCAATAAATCTGAGAGAAGAAAGGATGAATACAGTGAGAAATTTAACAAAGAGTTAGAAAATATAATGTAGACCCAAGGAAGGGGAAAAAAATATATATGTGTGTATGTACATATCTGAATCACTATGTTGTACACCGGAAATTAAGACAACATTGTATATCAACTATACCTCAATTAAAAAAAAAGACCCAAACAGAACTAAAGAATACAATAACAAAAAATACACACTAGAAGAAATCAACAGTAGACTAGATGATAGAGAATGACCGACAACTTTAAGACAGAGTAATGGAAATCACTGAACACTAAAAAGAAAAAAGAATTTTTAAAAATGAGGTTAGTTTAAGAGACCTGTGAGAAGACAAGGAGAAGAAAGACCTAAAAATGTACAGCTGTCTTAACTATTATCTCTACAAACTATTTTTCCATAGCAATTATTTTTTAAAGTTTTAAAAGCATTAAAATGCGGGATGGGAGTGGGTAATAACTCAGTGGTAGAGTATGTGCTTAGCATGCACAAGGTCCTGAGTTCAATCCCCAGCACCTCTGTTTAACAAAAAATTAAAATGTATTAATAGGATGGAAGAATAATCATGGATATGAAACATGTGTTAACATACCTACACACTTCAAAAACTGCATTTTAAGAGAAGAAACTTAATTTCATATTTTTCAGTTTTAATAAATCTTGTACAGTGCTGAGCACACAGCAGATACAAAATTGATGGTTATGTATGTGTCTGCATATGTGTGTATATCTAAATATACACAGATACATGCAGAGAATTCCACATGACTGTAAGAGGCTGATTCTTCCAGACCCAAACACACCTTGCCCCTAACACTCATAAATTGGAGAGAGAAAATAATTATTTCTTTCCCAATGTTTTCTCCCAGGCCTCTTTTAATTCTCTATTGTATGTAGGGAATGGAACAACTGTCATGACACCCATAGTGTGAACTAGCTTGTTAGTCTTCACATTTTTAAAAATAGACATCATTACAAAAATCAAACCCATATAAAGTTGAAATGGACAGAACTGGGTGATATTCTGTATTTACCAAGGAATATATTTCAGGTCATAGGCCTACACTTAACCAAAGAGATGTTTCACTGTTGTTTTACTTATAATGGAGATACAGTATGTTACAAAGACAGGAAAATCTAAAATAAGTCAGCCAAATTGAAGTATTATTTACATCACTTCACTTAACTCTTTGCTGCATAAAATTTTAGAAGAAAGCATTATGCAGAACACACACCTGAAAAATATACAGGGGGGAGGGTATAGCTCAAGTGGTAGAGTGCACACTTAGTACCTGGATTCAATCCCCAGTACCTTCATTTAAAAACAAACAAAAAGATAATAAATAAATCTAACTACCTCCCCCCTCCATTAATTAATTTAATTAATTAATTAAAATAAATACATTACCCGATCATTCATGAGGAGATCTTTCACAATGAAAGTAGCTACCAAAGACTTCAAAGGAGCAGCAAACTGATCTGGTGCGAGGAGAGCAATGTGACCGATAGTGACCAGCGGTGTTATGAGATGTTCCAGGTTGCTTGGATCTAGGCTCTTATGCAGAGGCTGAAAATAAGAAAAGGAAAATATATTCAACTCCATAAACATGCAAATAAACTGCTCACATATTTCATCTTCAAATGGAAAAAACTACAAAATTTCCAATATATGGTACAAGTAGTACCTCAAGCTTACATTTAAACTTTTACAGCTTATTTCTGTCTAGAAGGCATCATGTTTAAATGTTTTCAATTTTGCCATATTTTAGAAGTAGGTAAAGAAATATTTCGGCATGAAGAACCATATTATGTACCATATATTTTATGACTACATATATAAATATGTTAGAGGCTGCTAGGGCTCACCAATATCCACTTCTGTTCTACTTCCTGGACATAATAAGGATGCCTACACTTGTAGTCAGTTGAGGATATGTAAGTTCTGGTTAACAAAATGAAAATGGAAGTGAGGTATATATGCCATGCCTGCACTGAGGCAGATAGATATGAGCAGTTTATCTTCTCCACATCCTCTCTTCACTCACTGGCTAGTTTAATACCAAGGATCCAGTGGGACTCAAAGAGAAGCCACCAGTCAAGAAGGGTCTGTACGCTGAAGCCACTAGTTAGAATGCAATCCAAACACCCAGCTGAACTTTTCTCAGGAGTAAGAAATAAGCTTTTATTGTGTATAGTCACATGCATTTTTGTGGATTTTTACAGCATCAAATATTAAGTATCATAACTAATAAAATTATTTTTATTACTGTGACAGGAAACCCAACTATAAATACTCACTTTGCCATGACAAAAGAATGAGGTTCCTCATATACTCATATAAATTGATATCTAAAATATATCGTTAAATATTTAAAATAGGAAAATCAGAACACTGACTATAGTATGCCACTATTGGCATAAGGGGAGGGAGAAAGGGGACAAAATGTATGTGTATGTGTTTTTATTACTTGTATATGAATAAAATGTCTCCATAAAAGTACGTTACAAACTGGTAACATTGGTTGCCTCTGAGAAAAGAAACTTGCTAGCTGGGGATACAGAAATGAGGTGAAGGAGAAAACTTTTTACCATTTTACTATTTACTATTGAATATTTGTTTTGTTAACTTTTCATTTTGAAGCAAGTGAACATATTATCTATTAAAAATTTTAATGAACATTTTAATGAAAAATTGATGCTCTATCCTTCCACATTGAACACCAAGAATTTTAAGCTTGAAAAACAACACAAAACTATTCTCTCCCAACATACTGGGGCAATATGAGAGGTTTTGTTTAGTCATAAGTATATTTAAATGAGTTTACTTCTTGCTCTTCTTGATGATTTCCCTCAAAACCTCCACTGCACACCTAAATAACAGCTTGTTGTTCGTATTATAAACAAAAATCTGATAGTGTACTTTTTTCAATTCATTTATTATAATGTATGACAATTTTCCACAGTAAGCTAATAAAGTCACTTCTGAAAAAGCAAAATTAACGGCCAGACCCTGAATTAACAGTAATCTCATAAAGGCCAGCTATCTCTATGAAACCTTTTCTCAGAAAGCCTTCAAACTTGTATATTACAGTAGAAGGATTACAGATTAGATTCTTGTAAAGATGAAATAACAGATACCAAAATGAAAATAAAAGTACCCTAAAAGTTAAAGTTATTATTGGCATTATCCTCCTCGTCATCAACACTGGAAGGAACAAAAAGGAAACTATTCAAGAGAAACAAAAAAGCTTTCTAGAAATCAACATGAATTCTTTTAAGTTATTCTTTTATATTTAAAAAAAGCTACAGAAAATACCTCTAATCTCAAAACACACAAAATATAAAATAAATTATTATTTGCTATCTACCACCAAGGTGCTGTTTAATAAAGAAGACTAATTTTTTGCCTCTTTCAAGTCTTTAATACATGAAAACGTGACAAAATTAGCATAAATGTTTCTAAAATAGAGATAACAAGTCTAAATATTTATGGTGGACAGCTTCAGCATAATTTCTAAACTGTCTTGGCTTCATTCAAGGCTCCTAAACTAAAATTCTAAGTTACAATTTTATAGATTTTCTGCTTAGCCTCCATTTGCAGTAAGAATGCTAAAGACAGCCCCTGATTATAATAGATTATAATGAAATTGCAACTGCTTAGAAAGGGTAATGGTAATTCAAAGTATAGAAGAATATGAAATACATATCGAAAAGAAGGTCAGCAGATATTTGGTTCTGTCCAATATATCCATAAAACATCTGATGCACACCAAAAGCTCCTTGATATTTGGTCTTGTCCAAAACCATTCGGTATGGACCACATATGCTCATGGATGTCTTAGACAGGACCAAATTACAAGGACTTTTTGGTCTGGATCAAATGTTCTGCAAGGGAAAAGCCATGTTTTAATCTGACATAAAATTAGGTAATCATTAAAATGCAGACTTATCTACCTTACATTAAAATTAGTATTGATTTACAAAACCTCACACTTCAGTAGTATCTCATAAACAGAAATTTAATTTTCAAACCTATAAACTGACAGAATAACATCTATTACCTACTATCTGTAACTCTGATTTTATATGTAAATAATTAATGAAAAATAGTTTTCTAATGATAAATATATAAGGTAATGTCAAAAATATTACATAATCACTTGATTTCTGAATTTGAGTTAGCATTAAACATCTTAATAATCAGGTATTTTCAGATTTTAACCACTCATCAATACTGGTTATACTGATTCAAATTCTAAAAATATATTATAAAGTGATGCATCTCCAAATATGAACACCCTATAAAATCATTCATATTTGTTCATTAAGTATAAAATGAAACAAAAATTTTTTTTCTCTTTACCTCAAATATCTGCGCAAACTGGGTCTCTTTACTAGAAAATATCGCATGGATACAATGAATAGCATATTTGGCTTGACGGGGGGGTCCTTTTTTAGATTTGTGATGTAAAACAGGAAGCAAAGCTCTAAAAAAAAAAAGAAAGAAAGAAAGAAAACAATAAACCAGAAAAGTCAACATGACTTCCACTAGATACTTCAATGTTTATATTTTTTAAGTAATGTTTTGTAAGAACTAAAAAAGACTCATTTTCAATACCTATGATTTTGCTTTATAAATGTTCATATTAAAGTACAATACAAATGTAAGTATTTATTCCTTTTTACTTAATACTTATAAGTAAAAACATGGATGGTGACCCGTTTCTTCTTTCTAACATCATTTCCATTAGCCTTTTCTATTTTATTCTCACTGTTGTCACTCAAGCTAAGCTTCTGTCACCTTACACGTAAGACCACTGTAATGGAACCTAAATTGTTCCTATTTTCTCAAGTCTCTTCCTCTTCTAAGTCATCCTTCACTTTATGCCGAAACAACTTACATAAGAATAAAATGAGAGTTCAGGGAGGCCAAGGCAGCTATAACTTCTAGGGCAGAGTACCAAAGAGAAGAGAGCTATGAAAAGAGAAAGAGAACCTGAGTTCTGGAGATCTGAAGAGGGATAGCTGAATAATGTTTGGCTGAATAACGATCAGTGTCATGCAGGAGCAAAAACTACCCAAGACCAGGAAAAGAACGTTGGAAAACAGCAGGCCAAAAAATTCCTTAATGTGCACAGGGCTGGTAGTAATTTATGTTTCCACCAGCCACAGTAGAAAGACCATCTAATATGCAATCAGGAGAAAATTAATCAATAGAAACAGCCCCAGAAATGGTAAAGGGAACTACTAAATATGAGAAACACGATACCTCAAATGAAAAATACACACATAGAATTAAAAGTAGATTATATATTACAGAAGAAAAGGTAACTGAACTTAAAGAGAGCAATAGAAAGTATGGAAAATAAAAGGGGGGGGAAGACAGGAAAAAAATAAGAACAGAGCATCAGTGACCTCTAAGACAATACGAAGTAGTCAAAAGTACATTCAATTGGAGTCCCAGAAACCAAGGAGGTGAAGAGGAGAGAACGTTTCAAAAAAAACTGAAGACATAATAGCCAAAAAATTTCCAAATCTGTCTGAAATAAAGCCACAGTCCCAAGAATCTCAAAAAACCTCATGCAAAAGAAACAGAAATTAATCCATTCCAAGCCATATCATTATTAATTTGGTAAAAAAAAAAGTGATAAAAAGAAAAATCTCAAAAACAGTCAGAAAAGACACATTACGTATAGAAGAACAAAGAATGAAAGAGCATTTCATCACAAACTATGTGGTCCAGAAAATAATGGGGTGATATCTTTGAGGTACTAAACGAAAAAACTCTCAACGTAGAATTCTATTCTGAGCAAAAATATCTTTCAGGAATGAGGGTAAAACAGGGAAGGATATAGCTCAGTGCCAGAGCACATGCTTATTACCATGCACGAGGTTGTGGTTTGATCCCCAGAACTGCCATTAAATAAAAAATAATAATAATAAATAAGCAAATAAACTTAATTACCTCCCCCCCAAACAAGAATGAAGGTAAAATGAAAACGTTTTCAGATAAAGAAAAGCTAAGATAATTAATTATAAGCAGAACTATACTCTTAAGAAACATTAAAGTTATTCATGAAGAAAAATGGTACCAGATGAAAATATGGATAGATATCCAAAACATGAAGAGTGGCAGAAACGATAATATTTGTGTACAAGTGAAAGAAATCTGTCATTGTTTACTGAGATATATTAAATTGCTTAAAGCAAAAATATCAACAACATATTGTAGACTTTATAACATATATAGAAACAAAATATATGGCAACAAAAGCTTGAAGGGGGAAGGCATTAAAGTATGCTGCTGCAAGATTTTTACAATATACATTAAGTTGTATAATTATATTTGAAGTAGATAAGCCAATAGTAAGTTAATAAAACAAAACCATTAAAAATACTCAATTAATCCCAAAGACAGCAGGAATAGAAAGGGGAGCACAGAAAAGATGAAATGAAAACAAACATCAAGATGGTAGCTTTAAACACAATTATATCAATAATTACATTAGTCTAAATATTCCAACTGAAAGAGGGTGTGTCAAACTGGATTAAAACAACCAAAACCAAAATAAATCAACAAAAACAAAACGGAGACCAAACTACAAGATATTTACAAGAAATTCATTTTTAAAATAGAAAGACGGGAAGAAACGAAGAAAGAAAAGGAAAAAAGACAGAGAGGAGGAGAGGGGAAGGAGAGATGCCTTGAAAACACTAATATAAGTGAAAGTAGAAGTGGTAACACTACTTTCAAAGACTGCAGAACAAAGAAGATGACCAGGCACAAAGAGAAATGTTTCATTAACAACACTGTGTTGACAAAGCTGTAGGGAATCAGGTACACTGATACATTGCTAGAGGGTATGTGAAATGGTACAACCACTATGAAGGGAAGTGTAGCAATACCTAGCAGAATTATACATGCATTTCTTCTATGATATATCCACAAAATATTCTGCTAGTTTATGTAAAGAGAAAAAAAGCAAGTTGGAGAAAAGTATGTATAGTGTACTTTATCATTTATCTATCAAAGGGGGCATATGAACACATATATGCACTTAAACACATCTAGACAGATACGCATGGAAGGACCTCTATTCTAGTTTATAGGTAAGAAGGAACAGGGTAGAGAGTTGAGGAATAGAGGCTAGACTTCTTAGACTATATCTTGCTTTTTCAGACTTGTCTTTAAAACCAGAAAATATTTCATATAATTAAGAAATATAATTTTTTAAAAGTAGCCTTAAAAATAAAACAAATGAACAGAAGTGTGGATCTATCTGTTGGCATAAGTAAATTTAAAACACAGGAATTTGACTGTAAATTCCTAATGTGATACACCTAACATACAAAAGAGAACTACCTAAACAAGTAAACAGATGTTTTTAGGAAACACATTGGTGGTGCTACTACTATTCTGAGACCCTTAAGTATTTATTATGGGATAATTCAAATAATTTATGATGTAATATCATAGTTTTATCACTCTGTGTTATCTCAGCATAGGGAAAAAGAGATACAAATATAAAACTGAAGAGGCTCAATAAAAACCTGGTAGTTCTGAATTTGAACCGAAATAATCAATACAAACACACAGTGCATTTTATCTTCCCAAAAACTTATTTTAGCCGTGTCCACTGAACTGTCCTAGAAAAGTGACCCACACATTAGCAATCAGTACCTACAAAATTCACATTCTGATTTCTTAATACTACTCCCATTAAAAGGCGCCAAGGCTGCCTGAAGAAATGGCTGGTTCCGGGTCCGTGGCAGGACATGCATAAGATGGGCCTGCTACATTTTCTCATACTAGATTGTAAAGACATTACAAAGATCAGTGCAGTTATTCAAAAGGATTCAGAGGTCAACCTGAACAGCCTCCTGGGCATAGATGGGACAATGTGAGCATCAGAGTGATCACTGCAGTTGACTGAAACACAAATACAAGTAAATTCCTGAGTTTACAATGATACCTTTAAGAGACAACAACAGCGAACTGGACACAAGTGGAGGATGCTAGTAAACTCCTCATTCTTTATTCTGAACGCTGTTCAATAACACAAAATAATCAAGCACTTATCCTGCCTTTCCTAAATAAGTGTAACACTGGGGAACCAAAGAATAGATGAGACATTCCTCTTTATAAAAGTATTCAGCTAACAAGTGATGAAGGAATGACAGAATACCACCACTGATTACTAAGTATGATCAGTTGCTAACATCATAAAAAGAGAAATAACCAAACATTATGTGCCTCTTGACAGAAAAGCATACCACTATCTACAAAGTGGTCCTGGAGCAAAAAATAGTTGAACCAGAATCTAAGCAGACCTCTGGATTCAACTATCACTTTACAGAAAGCACAGGGAAACCATTAAAGCATGCCAAAGGCATACAATTAGCAAAAATCAGTCTATGTGAAACTCTGTAAGAGAAGCAACCTGGTTTCTTTATCTGACACAAAGAAAGAAGAGAACTGAAGGGGAAACCTACAAGTGACAAGGGACTTCAGAGACTTATCAACCAAAGCAATGTAGAAACCTTACTTGGATTCCGATTCAAAAAAACCAAACTTAAAAAAAAAATTACTAGGGTGGGGGGAAGGGGGATTGGTCAGTGGCACGAGGTCCTTCCTGGGCTCAATCCTCAGGACCTCCATTAAAAAAAATTAAAATTAAAAAAACTATGCTTTCACCTAAAAACTTACATTTTTGAGAAAATTAATTGCATATTATTAGCATTAAGCAATTATTACTAACTTTGTTTGTGATAAAAGTATTGTGATTTTTTAAAGAGTTCTTACCTTTTAGAGATACTTAGATATATAGATGAAATATACAGTCTGGGATTTGTTCTCAAATATTAAGGGAATGAGGGAGTGTGTAGCATTATAAACTAAACAAAGAGGCAGTAAGTTATTCATATATAAGTTACATGGGAGTTTGTTCTAATATTCTATCTACTTCTATATATGTTTGAAATTTTCAATAAAAGATGTAAAAAAACAATTTGAGTTTCACCAAAATGCTATCTTTTTAGTCTATGATTTGTGGCTTCTTTGTGAAATAAAAAGACACTATTTTCTGGTTACTTCAGTAACTAAACTCCTCAGATAAGACCTATCTTCTCAGGAATCACTTTACAATACAAACACTCATAATCTCATTTCTTGGTAATCAAGTGAAAAATTAAAGGTCACACACAAGTAAGAATCAACTATGGCTAAGACTTTCTAAGTTAGTATGAGAAATTTTAACCTCATCCAATGTGTTGGATACTCATTTGAACAGAAAACAGAAATTAACCAAAACAATAAAGAAGAGAAAAATTACAAGAATTCTGAAGTCCCTGGCAGTCTGAGAAGTTAGTGAAATGTACATGAAGCAACTACCTTCTGACTGCTTTTTATAATAAAGTTTCTATTAAAAGAAATCCTTTAATCATCTCATTAAATTGATTTTCTTCTTTCAAGTTTTCTTCCCCTGAT